TCGTGAATATGGTGGTGTTTTATTTAAAACTGAACTTTAGATATAAGTAGTTTTAAAAGAACTTAAAGACAAAATGAAGAACCGATAAGTTGCGGCCACTGCACACAATGCAAATTCTCGCACCGTCATTTTCCTTGAGGTTACCCACTTTAAAATTAAAAGGATTTTTCAACGTTACCGATTGAATTCACCTCCGAGATTGATTTATATCCTAACCCGACTGGGTCTCTTGCAGAACTTCAGGACCGGGACGTTTATAGGATTCCCAACTAAAATCCCTTTCAAATTGAGAACGAAATTCATACTTACTGCCGAGCGGAGGCGCGGAGAGAATCGATGCCGAGTTTAATTTGAATCTGTGATATATTTTCCTTGTTAGCATCTGCGATTGTCCCATTTTTCAAGCGATATTTCGGAGTGTTACGATTTTTCATTTTTTTTTACTCATACATTTTCAAATGAAAAAAATATTACAGTATCTATTAAACTAATTAAATTAATCTCTTATATTTAAGTTATATAGTCTTGGATTTTAAGGAGAACGTAAAAGTTTTTCATAAGCTATTTGACTTACCGTGTTTTACTAATCCATAAAGATTTTACGGTCTTTCATTCTAATGGGCTAGTAAAGCCCAAAGTTCGAGAACGGAGTAAGCTTTTCCACTTAAGGTAATGAAATAGAACGTTGTAAAGTTTAAATCACGGACCCTTGTCCGGCAATAGACTTAAGGGAAACCAGAACAGAATTTAAACATGAAACTAAAATCCGTATATTTTTAAAAGCTATATTTATAGACGTTTGAGTTTATTTTGATTTTAAATTGGTTTTCATTCCGAATTAATTCCAAACGAAGAAGAAACATCGAAAAATTGTCACGACCTGTCACTTTCTGTCGGAAAAGACCAAATCCATTACGTTAATTGAAGCCAGGCGGATCTTTTTAAAATGCAAATTGTTTCGAGTTTCAACAGAAATTGAATTCGACGTTGGCTATGGTGCTGTAGCTGAACAAATTTAAATATTTGACCGAGCCGTCCCAGAAATGCTTTGAAATCGAAGGGACTGACAGCATTCCCAAGAAATTGTAATTCTCGTCGTAGAACAAAAGATGGGCCCTAGATTACAATTCTAACGAGTTGCCACGCCTTTGTCTGAAAAAAAACCCATTCACTCCACTCGTATATTTAAAAATACCGATGTTGACCACATATTTCTTTGCGAGAAAATCTCAAGCGCTCATAAAAAATTTTTTTTGTTTAATGACGCTAAAAGAAAGTATTTCGTAGTGTAAATTTTGAAAAGAGCGATATTTTTTTGAGGAGTTATTTTTAATTTAAGACATTAAATAATCAGATCGTCCGTCGCGGGGAATTTTTCAATATCCCTGACTTGTAAAAGAGGGCGCATCGTTCTGAAGGAATATGCCCTTTACGTGACAATATTACCCAGTCACGCGACCTCTTAGTTGATGACGATGCTCGGTACGATGCTCATACCGACACTCATTTGCATGAGGAAATATAAAAATCTTTCAGTTGGTCTGTGGGAAAATGTAAATTAACTCACGCACCTGGTGAGTTCCTAACATAACTCTCTACTGCACCACCTTAAAGATAAGTGAAAAATATTACCCTTTCATTATAAAAAATAAACTTAACCAACGATTACTTATGGCGTCATTTCATGGCCTTTACGCCAATGAATAATTTAGTGCATATTTTGTTTACCCCTCAAGTTACAAGCTAAAGAAGTGGCGATGTCTACTCTGAACCGCCTTCGAGCAATAAACGACAGATGGCTAGATAAATGTGGAGAATCGACCGCTGGCTGTGAGATGAGGTTTGTAACAATCAAGTTCGCCTTAATAGGGGTTGAATTAAAAGATGTTTTATCTTGGAATATGTGGTATTAGAAAAAAGATGTTACCGAAATTCGTTTTTCGGATCAATATAGTAATAATAACTCATGTTATTAGTATTGTATATTAACTAGCAAATATATGACTATATCTTAGTAAAATCTCCTTGTAGTACTCCTTGACATACAAGATTGCCCAAAAAAATATTACCACTCATACGGTACTACATCATGTTTAATTTTCTTTTGTTGCTGACTAAATTTCGTCCACTCAACTAACTTTAGAACAGAGAAGGAAGGTAGCAGCTTAGATAACCATTCTTCGGTCACTTTAACAGCAAGAAAAAGGCAATCGTTTTGAGAAGCATCTTCCAAATCGTTTAACTATTCGTAGAGTGCACGAGAAATTTCTCCGCACAAGATCACAGTCAAACGGCTGTTTTTGAAACGACATCCCAGAAGTATTCCAAAGGAAGATAACCTTATAATAATGTAAATAAGGAATGATTAAAGACCCAGGAAAATCAACTAGAAATCCTTCAAACTAGAAATTAGTGCGAAATAGTGTTTATGATGGTACTGGTGTTACCAAAGACTCATTTAGAGACGAACTCCATCATGGATCAGAATAGCAGACAAGTTGATAGGATACCATCATTCAATCTATACTCTCTTAACAAGATGTAGTTTAATATGCAATTTTCAAATTTACGATGTCGCATTGGTTACCATACTGAGACTGCGATACCTTTCACCGCTTTGAAAGACACAAACACTCTAAACAACTACACGGTTGGATGCACCAAACTAAATGGTAAATGCTCTAATTAATCGATTATTGGCTCCTGGTAGTAAATAGCTCTATCAAACAAGTAGAATTAGTTACAAAATCTACATTGGTTTCTATAATGAGACGTGTTGGGGCGGTAAAATATATCCTATGAGCTTACATGGGCGATAATGTCTTACCTTAATTGTACCTTTGTCATACACCGTGAAAGAAAATCAATCATAGCATACATCTTTTCCTTTGTGCAGAATTGTTGTGTAATCTCGGTGCATCAGCGATGTCACCATAACTTATAAGCAAAGAGATTACAATCTGCACTGTCAAAGATTATTCGACAACAAAATATTTCACGTTGGCCAATAAATTCACACATAAAGGAAGGTGAGGTATGGGTTTATAGCAATTATTGTTTATTAAGACAATTAATCATTAATTAATCGCTTAAATGACCTTTTAAAACACGAAATACATCACAAATGATGTGGATCTTAAGCGAACACCATTATTTACAAAGTTGTCTAGGGGGAACTGTAAGAGCAAATTTATGAAGAGTATCACTTACCAAAAGACTTGTTTGCTATTAGGTAACGCAACACAGACCATAAGGGAGTTAAGAGTGCAGGTTAGAAGAGCAAAATGTTTTACGTGAATTAGAGATTCTTTAAGATCTCCGAGGGTCTTTTTTGTGGTACTGTAGCAGAAAAATATAATAAAATCATAATTATTTGTGTTATTATTATCTTGGTAAGCTTTTTTATTATAACTCTATATTTTATTAGTTATGGGATATTATTTCTTTAATTAAATTACATTCGAAACAACCAAATTAATAAAATCGAGCATAATTTAGGGTAATTTCGTTTATTTCGTTTAAAATTCTGGATAAATTCGCCAAAATGAAACCGCAAGTGCAAAGTAATTTTGTAGTTTACATATAGTCGGTCGCGCGTTGGTACTTTGTAATTCCATTTATTATTATTTTCCACTGGCCGACATTTGCGTAATAAAATTATAAATTCCGAATTGCCCCGCTGCCAGCGACGACCCGACACAAAACGTTTCTGGTATCGAGAATATTCTCAAACGCATGTGTTACGATTCGCGTGCATACGCCAGAATTCTATGAATTATTTCATATTATACATTACCAAACAACACGGTTTAAACCTTGACTGAGTTTTAACTATGATAAACACTGGTTATAAATTTCAATTTATCAATTGAATGATCAATTATAATCTACTAGGTTTAATTAAAATTCAAAATCGATTAAAACCATGTATGTAAGTTTATCGTTCAAAAATGGACATTTTTTCTCATATATTATTTTAGATTACCAAACTTTACTCAATATCTAGAGCGAATATTGGAAATTTTGCAACTCCATACAGCGATGGCCGAGTTTACACCATAAAACTTGTTGGGTCGCAAAAATTCGGACGGCCGATTTGCATTTGAATCGCCACGTTCGTATACACGGGTAGGAATAAGATACGACCAAGGTCGTTTTTACACAAAAACCTAGAATTGGCACAGTATAATAAAGTAATAATATAAACTGTATAACAGTATAATCATTATAAATAGTTGTACAAAATAAAAGGGAAGTTTTAAATAGGTACCTATTTGAAATTGCATCGAATACTTAAAACTTTACCTCTTAGCATAGAAATGGTTCGCGTTAATTTACGTGATCAAGTCCGGAATTTTTGCATAATGGTCCCGTTTTATACTCGCCCCATAAAGAATTAACACATAACAGGTCGAAATTTATTGCGAGTGTTTATTATACCTAGTTGTATGATTTTAAAATGTTCTGACCTACATTTATATTACGCTTTATTTAGATTTTAAAACTAAATTAAATAAAAATAAGAATCAATACAACCGGTTTCTTAATTGAGATGAGAACCACCAAGTTAAATTAAGGTTACAGCAATTTTGTGTTATCATCATAAATTTTAATTCATCGATAACTACAAATTACTAAATTGCTTGACTTTGATCACTTTGATACATTTAACGTTTACTGCTTTAAAAGTCCAAATTATAACATAAAGTCTGTAATAACTCAATATTGTTATTTTTAGTTGATCGTTTAAAGTAAAAACCATTTGGACATTAAACGTAGGTCGTAACTCAAAACATCTCGTAACCTTCGCAGTTACAATGCTAATATCCGCTAGAAAACGCTATTATTTCACCTGCAGGACCGCACTAAAGCTTTTATTGACACTTACTAGCACCTTTATAGCAAAACCTTAATATCCTAGACTATTTCGATTTTACTCCTTAAATAGCTACGTCAATTTTGATCATTTAAATGTTAATCAAATTTTTTTTATAGCTCACCTGACACGTAGGATATAATTCCTCGTGGGTTCTTGCAACCTTCCATCCCAATAATGGAGGGATACAAATCAACGCGGACAAAATCCAAACGGCAGCTATCATAAGAATTGCCCTCATAGGAGTTCTCTTCTTTAGATATTCAACAGCTTGCGTTATACTCCAATATCTGTCCAAAGAGATTAGACATAAATTCATAATGGATGCAGTGCTCAAAAGAACGTCCATGGCCGAATGAATATCACACCACCAAGTGCCGAAGACCCAATAGCCCATTAATTCGTTGGCTAACGAAAAAGGCATGATAACCAATCCCAAAAAGAAATCGGCCACGGCCAACGAAGCAATAAACCAATTTTGAATATTCTTTAACGCTTTCTCCGTAGTAATCGCAATAATCACCAACATGTTACCTACAACGACAACAATCATCAGCATGGTGACAACGATTGATGCCACGACGATTTGTGGCATCGTGTATCCGCTTGGATAAGGAGATCGGATAATCGACGTGTTTGTTATCGATCCGTTACTGGAATTATTGACGGTCATGTTATCGTAAAGGTCTTCAAAGGAGAAACCCGGACGAAACTGGAGGCTCAGGTTGTGGTTGTTGCTGGTACCCATCCTTTAGAAGGCTCAAATGTCTTTAGGCACTAGTATGATTTCTCGTCTTTATTTATTTATTTTATTGAAAGAAAGTTTCTAAGAGTCACGTTTGGTTCTTATTGGTCCCTAATTAACACTATGTACATTACCCGTTTGTACCGAAATCCGAACTGTTTAAGTCGGCGAAAAACTGTAGCAATTATCTTTAACGAGAAACGAACGAGTATTAATTATTTTTATTAAGTTTACGCGATGGGAGTAGTACAGACGGAAACTATTTTCTTGTGTTTATTCATTTGTATTGATTTTAAAAATTTGTATTTTTATGTATCTTAATTCTATATTGTTTTTTATGATGATTTTTTAACTTTCTCCCCTAAGTATATATCAAATTTGTTTATTTAATTATATGGTACATATGTATAAGTATTTTTCCTTTTTTTATTTTCTATTCTTTTTCTATCTCTATCTGTTACTGTGAAAATAAAATCTCGACCCTTCTCTTGTTTAATTCTTGCTCTGCTTATTTAGTTGGCTTTTATAGGCTCAATTTATTCCGTGTTTGGGTTCGCTTTTTTTCTGAATAATTTCTTGCTTGTTGTTGATTTTTGAATTTCGTCTCCGCTGCTTTTTACGACGCCGTCAGCGAATCGCGGTAACCGTAACTCTGCCCGGCATGACAGTACGTATGCGAAGCCGAGCCTATCAGCGAACACTGCCAACTTTTCATGGTTCCGCGTTCGGTTACTGCGGTACACTGAACGACGGCCGAATGCTCCAGCAGGAGAGCATGCGTGCGCTCAGTGCGCATCCTGCCGCACACATTTTCAGCTGGACATTTCGTCCTGCCGAATTTTCGGGCCCCAGGACAAAAATTGTAGACAAGAGAGAAAGAGAAACTTGTGTAGATAAAAAAAACGTTCTGAACCGGGTGGGAATTTAAAACAGATTATTTCCCGGTGGAATTGTACAAGGATATGTTCTTTAGATCGCTTGGGAAGAGATTTTCAAACAGTACACTATGTCAAAAAGGTTATTTATTGTTTATTTTTATTTTAGGACACGTCATTTCATTAAAATAACAAACTTAGTAAGTCGAATAAATGTAAATAAACCATTGGCAAAATTATGGGAGATGGAGGAAAACTAAGTTAAGAAGAAATCGTATGTTAAGAATACTGCCAACATATCCATAACTACTAGAAAAACTAGAAAAAGATGAAACCAATAATACGATTTCATACAATTATCGAGGTGAAAATACTAGATGCAGCAACCTTTTATATTTGCAGAAAATTTACACCCTTCCACCTCCAGTCGTCTCATTTTGTCCTCATTCTGCTTCTTAGGTTTAATCTGCCCCCTCAGTTTCGAAACAGTTTCGGCAAGTTCTTCCCCAGTTTTGTGGGCATCTTTGTCTAAATATGTTTAAGTTGGTGGCATACAAACATAGTTTGCTCAGGATTATCAGCTTGATCTCAGAACCAGCTTTTATCGTTTTGAGCTTCCTTTATAGACTTTAGTTAATATATCGCTTGGGTTGTGATTGACTTCTCACTATTTTCTTATTATCCAGTTTTCTGTGCTAGATATGAAATATTGGTATCATAAGTATATATTTTCCAACTATTGATTCATAATGATTTAGCAATATTCAGCTTTATAACTTTACCATACGCTACAAAAATTAAATTCGAAATATTGGTGTCCTATATTTTCACGTTGTACAAAATCCTGGACACAATGTTTTAAAGCGACTGATTGTGAGTGACACACAATAAATTTGGCATAAATGAGATGTTAAAATTAAATCATTTTTAATTGTTTCAAAGCTGCTGCGAACATTTATTAATCAATAATTCATTAATTACCAAAGGAATTTATCGCTATAATAATTATTTCTTAAAAAATATTATTTATCTATATATAAACGCAAACATAACTATTTCATGTTAAAAAACTGATATCAAAATCAAACACGTTAGTAATTAACAATTAGATATCCCAAATATACCTATGTACGAATTTGTCATATATATCTTGTCAACTGTGTTGATATCAAATAATATGTATCAAAATTCGTTTTATTCGGAAATTTAATATTTAATACGTTGTTACAGTATTCCAATAACTATTTACATTATTTCGTGTATAGAGAATTGGTAAACATGTCATACGCAGATTTATTTTTAATACGACGTGTATATTAACGTGTGTCGCTAATAAAATATTAAACATAAATTGGACCTAGTGAACGTGTTGTTAAATGTTTCAAAATAAATTAAAATAAGTATACCTACTTTTATTTTTATTTGGTATAGATTTTTTTTAATAAAATCGTTTAATTATGTAGCCCGATGAAACATAATACACTAAATAGCTTATTTAAATTGCAAATCTACTGCTGTTACAAATTCGAATTTGTCCGGTGTGATACTATTTCAAGCGTTGAAAATACAAACTCGATTTTAGTTATCGTTTCTCGACCACAAAGGCGGCATTTCATTATGATTATTGTTTTAGTCATTAAATACTACAAAATTACATGAAAACAATTCCCAGTGAAAAAAAAAGCAGACTTTATATAATTTGCATGGTTTGAATTTCCTCGGATATTTATTATTTTTTTAATAGGGCCGTTACCCTCAATCGAATAGAAAGACCGTCTTTCAAAAAATCTATAAACTATGTAAAAATAGAAGGATTAGTCACCTTTTAAGATCCTAAAATTGCTTAATTTTTGCAATAATTAACATTAAAATTCAAAATCCCCTTTATAAAAGCTTTGGTGACGTTTACGAAGTTTTCGCGTACGATCAAGAAGACTCTTCTAGCGCATAAGATTCTCGTGGCATCTCGCTCGTGCACCTTTTATTGATTTTTATTTTAATCAACCGCATGCGAAACGACGGTGACGTCACCAAAGTTTTTTCAAATTTTCATTATTTTTTTTTGGAAAAACTAAAGCCCAGTTTGAAAAATAAAAAATTATAATAGTCTTCAATTTTGCTAAACTATCGAATAAGCCAATAAAAAAAAACTTTATTTAAAATACTATATTTAAGTAGATATCGTAGGTTAATTTAGAAAAATCAAACTAAACTAATACCTATATATTAGTTTGTTTCGGTTAATCGACAATAAACCAGCTTCTAAGGGCGCAACGGAACTCGATTTATCATGCAAATCAGCTTACGTCAATGCGGGCGCGCCTCTCTCAATCCTCTCCTCGCTCAATTGCAGCCGATTAAAGTCAACACAACTCCGGATCTTTCCCCCGGGAACTTGTAGGGAAGTTAGAAATCCATGTCTCTACGAGCCGTTATGGGATAAGAAGGGCTAGTGACGTTCGTGTCACACCAGCCGACGGTCGTGGGTCCGTTTTATGTCGAGCCTATTCTCCGATTATTAAGATAAGGGGTTAGATTTCACCCAATGGACCTCTTCTACGGTCTACAAAGGATTATTAACTCGGACTTGGTAAATGTAACTTCGACCAACTCACTATAGAGAGTCACTTATAACCCCTAAACTGTATAGAACTTTTTATAAATCAATCTAAAACTTAGTGGTGATTGTTAAAAATATAATTTATAAGATTTAATTACACTTATAAATCAATTTCAGAAAATTTTCCACTGAAAACGTATTATTACGTTAAGCAATTTTTCTCTGTTCACATCAACTTTTTTAAACACGGGCAATTACCGTCTATTTTTAATTCGAACAGAGCTAAATTGCCTGTCACAGTTAACGGTCGGCATCACCTTGTGTTTGCTGCACTCGAAAGTGTTGCAATGTTTTTCGCAACTTTTTGTTAGTGCGATGTATTCGCCGAAATCGTTCGTAAGTCCCCAACTTCAAGCCCAATTAGGAGATTTAGAGCCAACGCTTTTCGCAGTGCAGTGAATCTATTGGGATGTAAAGGCGGATTTGCACTATGCAAAAATAATAATCAATAAATTCGTTTATGATATTATTTTTGGTTTTATTTTTTGCTTAGAGAAAGTTTATTTCTATTTTTATATGTATCACTGATATTCGTAAAGTGTTACATGCTCGATTGATTGATCTAGCAGTGGGTGCAATGTTTTCGGATTGTATCGTGCCCGCCTAATGCAGGTACTTCAATGCATGACGGGAATACGTTGCAATTTCCAGGAGAACAACACTGTCGCGTAACATACGAGCTGAAGCTTATCGATGAGGCGCAACCAGTTTTTCCTGTCCTATTTACACGAAACAAACGTTTTTTCTCTTTTTCAAACATCAAAATAGAACGATTAATAACGAAAACATTTATCTAAACCATAAACTAGATAAACGCGTATATTTCTTCCGCCAAGTCATTTTCTTCCATAAACTTGAATGGCCGCGCATTTTTTTTTGCACCCGCATTTGCATATTTTCTACCGGAAGAGTGCAAATCTGCGATGCCATTAGTGAACGTCGTTCCCTACGGAACCATTGTGGACTCTCTTCATCAAGCCACGTCTCTGTGATCCGCGTCTTTGAGGCCACAATCGCAAGCAGTACCTCCGTAGCATCCTTTCGACCCCTTGTTTACATTATAAATGCGCCGCTCGCGTTGGATATTTTCACACTTCTCCAATGCAAATTTCGCTACAACGTGCCGTTTATGTCTCCGGAGAGGTGGCTTCTGTATCGAAGAAACCGTTCGTAAGCGGAACGCGGCTCGGCATTAAGTGTACGATTGCATTTTAACGGTTGCATTGGTGCATGAAACTGTTTCCTTTTACTGTTTACTGAACGCTGATTTCACACCTGAATTTATTAATATACAAACTAAGAATTTTATTATAATATTCTTAATTGAAACAAATGTAAAGAGAATATATTAAAATAACATTGAAAACATTGGGGTACTTGAGTTAACGACATTGTTTGAAAAACTTCAAGAACAAGATGATCGCAGAATACATTGACAAAAATAATTGGAGTTTTCCTAGATGACGTTTCATAGACAAGGTGAGGAAAAAGGTCGTTATGGCTAACCAGATCTGGCGCAGGCCTCTCGGAAGGAACTGCGGTCTCAAACCACGAATGGATCATTGGGCTACAACGATTACCCCAACCCGGTACACCGACGCTTCAAGGACAGTTGGATCCGGAGTAGGCATGGGCATCAGTGGACCAAATAGCCAGTTAGTTCGGACATAACCATTTTTCAAGCAGAAGTTCTTGCTATAAACTTCTGCACCGCTTTGAACCTACAAAAGGTACAAAACGGTGCATCCATAAACATTTTCACAGATCGCCCTAAAGGCAACTCAGGCCTACACGTGTGACTCTGCACTGATCACAGAGTGTACCAGCAACCTA